AGCCTGATATCTAAAGATAAATTTCCTTAAAAAAACAGACGAAAATACTAGGTTACACCGTTCACAATGAACCCACATAAAAAAAAAAAAAATGAAGCGACGAAATTGATATTCTGTCTTAAGCATTCATTGTTCTTGATAACGACTTTTTTTATTTCCGCAAACAATACTCTCATAAAAATAGAAAATATATTCGAAGGAACCTAAATAAAACCTTTTTATTAAGTACTATCAAAAAAATGATCAACTTTGGAATCATAGATATTTAATGATGATTTTGGTATCTGATGTAATTTGAGAGAGAGAGAGAAACACAGAAATCCAAATACATTTCTTATTTTTTTCATTATGAGAGTGTTCTATTATTTATCTGTGGTTTTATTCTGATTTTATTTAAACTTTACTATGTAGGAGGGCTTTTCCATTTCTATATTTATATTTTTATGTGCACTGGTAATCGCAAGATATTCATGCGATATCTGCTCACATATTCAGCAGTAGACATTACATATTTATGATTATCAAGACGTGATGCAGTTTTGTGGCTGAAATACAAACACAAGAGCCGAAGAATGTTTACCGAGCGGTTTTATGAGAACATATTTTTCTATTGCCTATCCAAGGTTTGGTTTACATTTGGAAACGTTGAAGAATGTTGCTTTAAAAGCTTTATGGAATTGGCTTTATGCAAATTTAGGAATCTTGAGCAGCAAAATTCTTAAGGATGCTTTAAGAAATCCTTATGAAATAAGAAAATTAAAAAATGCAAACACGTTCAAACACAGAAAAAGGAAGGAATAAAGCGGAAAAAAAAATAAGGGAATTTTCTTTATATACGCTAAAAGTATCATTTTTATTTATACTATAATTGATCGATATTCGTTTTCCTCGAAGAATTATTTATATGCTGGAATAGAATTCGTCTGGTTTATGAAAAGAAAATCTCGGAACGATATTGGAGGATTAATAACACAAATATTTTTTTATCAGTGGTGTTCGTAGAGTAAATGAAGTTTATTTTTTGAAAAAGGCGAAATTAATATTTATTAAAAACCTTATTTACTTTTCACAGACGATAATTTAATAAGAGAGTCAAAATAGACATTCCAAATACGGAGTGGTAATCAAATAGAGAGAGAGAGAGAAACGATTTTTATGCTTAAAAAAAAAAGATTTACTTCGGAAAGGCAGACTTTTCCTTCCTCCCTATTTGTTATTTATAAAGAAATAATTAGATGCACGTGGGCTTATCTAAGATAGATCTAGAATAATTATATCTCCCGATTTGAAGGGAATTCAGAAAAATCTGAGAAAAGAAAGTATAAAAAGTTAAGTTTTAAATAAAAAGTTATTATTCTATTTGACCTTCATTTAAGCACTTTTCTATGTATTTTTTACGAACGACACACTGCATGATTTTTCTTTTAATTATTGGGCATCAATGAATCAACGTTTTAAGTTAAGCAATTGCATAATTCTACAATTCTAAATTAAATATCCTTTTAATTTTCTAAAAAGCGATTCCCAGTTTATGTAAAAGAAACTGGTTATTTATTTTCACGCAACCCGATTAAGGATATTTATTGTCAATCGAATCTTTTTAATGTCAATGAATCAACGTTTCAAGTTAAGCGACCGTAATTCTACAATTAAATTTAGTATTTTTATAATTTATTAAAAACAATTCACACAGATTTTATGAAAGAGAGAGAGAGGGTTATTTATTTTTTCACGAGGTGATTAAGGTCTCCAATCAATAACTGTGTACAGAAAATTGAGATTCTCATAAATGTGTGTGAGATTATCTTTTATTTACATTCAATTTTTTTTCTTGCATTTTTTTGATTATGAGAAAGCAAATTCTTCAATTCGTTTGGAATGAGTAACCAATTTTGCTATTATTTATTCATTCTGCCTCAACAATAACTTTGAAATGAACATAACACATATCATTATCTGATGAATTTGGAAATATATTTATTTACTGTTTATTAAACTATCCAAATATATATATTAAAAAAACAATTGGTTTATTTGTGCATTGAATGATTTCCATTGCATATATTATTTCAAATCTGATGGATAAATTTTTTAAAAAAAGAAATAGTTTTGAAATTGTCTTGTGATAACTTTTCTACAAATTTTTAAATCATACAATTCCTTATTGATTCTATTTTGTAATTTTTTTTCATCACTGTGATTTTATAACTTTACTGTCTTGTTTTTGTTACTTAATTGTTTAATTTTGTAATGCACTTGTTTATCTCTATAACTTATTTTTTGTTTTTTTATTTGTTTCGTAACTTCTGTTTTGCTATTTATCCTTCATTTTAGTTATCTTATTTTTTTACTTCCATAAACCCGTGTGGCTGCGGTAGCCGAGTGGTATAGGTATCGGATCGCTGCCCTACACGGCGGGTCTTTAGTGGTACTGGGCTCGAACTCATGACATGCTTGCCATGATCCGATACCTTGACCACTGGGCTACCACAGCCCCTGACCATGGCTCAAAATTACGTGATCTGTGACGTTAATATTCAATCAATCAATCAATCTGTAAACCTGTGTGATACTTGTGGTGCACGAGTTTTATTAGCTTTTTTTTTTTTTTTACAAGAAATTAATTATGGCTAAAACAAATAAAAATATTAAGAAAATGGTTAAAAAAATGTGCTGTTTTTATTAATTCAGCAAATAATCTTATATGGTGCTTTCTACATAACAGTGGAGTCAGGATATAATACTAATGTTGGATCATTTTTGTGTCTAAAAGAGTTTTATTATTTAACAAACTGGTAATTTTTATAACTTAAAAATATTCTTATATTTCAGAATCTATTGAATTTTAGTACTCCTAAATCTTATTAAGGCATGCATATTATTTTAATTGCAAAATGAAAACTAAAAGCTCCACATCATCTTAAAATTGTGATTCACCATATCTACATTCTAGATATTAAATCTATTTCTATTTTCTTATAAACACTCTACTGAATCAGCACTCATACAGGAGATTGCAATCAGGAAATGACTCAAAAATAAAATAATTCCCTAAGTGCGATGTCTTCAATATTCATGAGCTACACCTGAAGCTCCGAAACTCGTGTGTGACGTTGAAGTGAGCTCTAAGAAGTTATACGGTTCTTCAGCCAACCAACAACCAGCACTTGTATTTATGCAGCTGCATTCGATGTTTGCTTTGGTGAAAAAAATTCGAAATCACGTAAGAGGTTTAACTATTTTTGGAAGTATACGTAGGATTATTTCTCAGTACTTAATGTAGTTAGGTAAGATTTCTACCTCGAAGAAAAAGCATTTCTTATTCAGTAGTTTTATTTCTGAGGTTATTCTTCTACGAACAATAGACTGAAGATAATATTTAGAATAAAGATGGCTGTTTCGACACATTATGTTTCAAGAATGGATTTCATTGCATTTTTTTTTTGTTCTTTTTAATGTTATGAAAGTTCCCTTCCAGTGAATTGTATTGTTGTTCCGGTTTTGTTTCAATTTTTTATGAAAATTATATTTTTGTTTTGGCAACATGTTTTGTTTTGTAGAATTGAATAGGCTTAATGCTTCTGTTTCTTACTTTTTTGTACTTTAAAATTATGACACCAAGTGTTAGAATACATCGACTGTACCAATTGAAAAATTATTTATTTTTATTTCTTCAGATTTTTTTTTATTATTTAATTTTAGTTAAATTATAAATTGAAAACATGAAATTTCAAAATATTTTCAGGAATAAAGTTTGTAACTTAATTTTTTTCCCTTTTAACACAACTCGTTACTGTATTTATTTTGAAAAATTCATGATATAAACGTACAATCATCCTTAATTTATAAAGCATCAATAAAATTACGAAAAAGCTGAAGATAAAACCAGAAAGAAGACAACATTAGGCAATTAGAAGTAGACTACTGAAACGACAGGGACATCTTGGCTATATACATAAATATTTGTTTTACAGAAATGATTTTACTGAACTGATTTAATTTAATACAACACACTCTCTTTTCTTTTTTCACACAAAAACATAAGCAAAAAGTTCTAATCAGATAAAAATTCTCTTGGCTCTAAGCTAATACTGCTAAACATCTGGAAATTTTTCCAAAGCAAATAGTTTTAATCAAATTTTTAAATATTTGACATTCTGATCTTATTTAAATATTTAACACACATACACATATGTATATGCATTTGCTTTCTATAATAAAATTTCGGAAGTGTTCTAAATATAGTAGAAAACCTTTGAATCAAAGGGGAAATAACATTATTCTGAATGTCAAGTATTATGTGTGTCACTTAGGCTTAACACTTTTGCAACTTAGCTAAAGAGAGGGGAAGAGAGATATAAATTCATAATTTTCTCATCTTGTAGATAAATAGCATTAACATTTTACACCGAAAGTAAAAAGATAATGCGAGTTCAAACAGAATAATTTGTGCGTTGGAAATTAAATTATAAAAGCTAAATCCACATAACAGCCACCTCGTTAGCAGTAAACCTTCTTTTTAGGAACAAGTGAAATTTAAAACATTAATCTCTCTTCGACTATTTCCTATGACATTAAGCATCTAAATAGAAAATACACAGTTAACTTCAGCACTTCGTATATTTGTGTAAGCAACTTCATGAATAAACGCGGGTACGCTAAAAGAGAAATAGGATAGAATAATGTGTTCGCCGAATGAAGTAACTAACAATATAAAAAAAATTAAGTCAATTCCTACATAGGTCAACAGAGAAAATTTTTATTTTAGTTACTTCTTGTTAAATAGTTACAATTAATATAAATATGTATGTATATATAACAGAATCACAATATTAAGTGACAAAACAGAAAGCGATTTTCCTTGCAATTGTCCATTTTCCTTTCTATATAGGGTGTTGGACTAATTTTTTTTTGTTACTATTTATTCATTAATTAAGTTTGATTATTCTAATAAAACAGTATATAGTCAAAAAGAAATCACACATTCTCAGAAATTAGGCCATCCCAGGTGGGATGCGAACCCATAACCTTTGGACTAGAAGCCCAACACGCTATCCATTGCGCTACAGAGACACAGGGAACGCCTTTCCTTCCTATATATGCTGTTGGAGTATTATTTTTTGTTACTATTTATTAATTTTTAATTTAATTACAAATTAATTTTAATTACAATTAAATTTATTTTGAATTAATATTCGTATAAACTGCATTGACATCAAGTGTCATCCACTACAAAAAAAAGGGATTAGAACTTGAGTGGATGAATAAAAAGAGTTTTATTAACGATTGAAAATTTGAACAAGATACATAAATAAATAAATAAATATTTATATAAAGGTAGAGAGTGAACTAATAGTAGGAATTGAAAAATAAGAGCGAATTCAATATCATCATGCTCTTACTTCGTTAATATATAGAAAACAGCATATTTTGCCTTAATTTTAATTGAATCACTCCATTTTTCCAGAATATAAAAAAATATTTCGTCTGCTTTGCTTTAAATTAATTATTCTTTTTTGTGTGCGTGTTCAAGTGAAAAATAACAATTTAGAAGCATTGCTAAACTTTCAGGGTGAAATGTGAAAAACAAACATAATGTCGGGGTTTTGCGGTTTTTGATTACTATATATTAATACATCTTTTATTATTTGATTCCTTTTTAGGCTAGACGATAACCCTTAATTCAACGTTTGTCTGTTTTGGATGTCCAAATTCTGAACGACTGACCTGAAAGAAAAGATGTATGTATATTTCAAATATTTCACTCCTCATATCTCATATCTCCCTTCTGAATAATTCCCTCATCGAGATATTGATCCCACTCTCACCCCCTCCTGCTACCTGATAGCAGTCTCTTCCAAACCCTGCGGTATCCGGTTCCCTTCCTCCTGCAATGGTGGTTTCCCAGCGGTTCATTGGAAATCGATCCTGATTTAATTTCATGGGAGGAGATATCGCCAACATTTCCGGCTATAAAAGAAAGTGAACTTCAATATTTAAACAGCCTCCGCTTGTTTCTTAAGATGAAATCGTAAAAGACTTATCACATTTCTATACAACTTTATCTCTTAAATATATGTGATAGAGTCGACCCTCTGCAAATTGGTTCTCGGATAAGTGAATAAACTGGTCTAGTGCGTACATTATCTTCAGGACTTGAATTTTTGTAATCAATAATTAGTAAAGAGCATGATAAACGGATATTATTTAAAAAGATAAATTACTACTTATACGTGTTCTCGCATTATCAATATTATTCATTCTCTTCACTTACATCATATATTTAGTTAATGTTTTAGTAAATTATAAATCCCTCAAAGCAATATGTTTCTTAAATGAAAATAAAGAATTCCTGTCCTATTTATTTCTATCATTGTCTATTTCAGTGATTCCCAAAGTGGTCTATATCGACCTCTAGTAGTCTATGATGACCTACAACAGTGATTCCCAGAGTGGTCTATATAGACCCCCAGGGCTCTATGACGACCTGTTAGGGGGTTCATGGGGGTCTCTACGATAGTGACTCTACTTAAACCAGTTCGTGACTTTAATTTTAAAAGAAAATTTAATCAAGGGGAAACCATAGATTTATTTACTAAATTTAATGAAGTTAATTGGCACTTACAAGATGACAGCATTAGTTTTATTAAAACACGTACCATTTCAATGTTTCTTTCCAAAGTTAAGCTTAAGATGTATAATACCGGATGTCCCAAATTTTCTCAATTTGTCACAGACAATCTGTCAAGACGTTTTAACCTAAGTTCAACATACACATTTAAATGTCTTTTATTCAGATTTTGAAACTAGGTTTGAGGATTTTTGACTACAGTAATACCACAGTAGACAATGAATTCATATGGTCACATGGAAAAGAAGTGTCACATTACAATAGAAACTGATCGTAATAAGCACTAATGAAAATCTTAAAGTTTAGAAATGGATGTCAGCAATTTTGGCTTTAAAAAACCAAGCCCGTTATTTGTCCTGAAGTATGAAATATCATGAGGAAGTTTTTAATTGCTGTTCCTAGTGTGAAGGAGTTTCAGCGTGGTTGTCGATCTCTAAAACAAAAAAAGGAAAGAAAGAAAACTGGATACTACTAATAGAAAAGATTTAAGGTTAAACCTGACAACATTGAAACCCAAGATAGAGATGGAACATATAGAATTAAATATTGTAGTGGTAGATTCATCCTTCTCATTAAAAGAATTTGTTTGTTGTTTAGGTTTTTATTTAACAGTTTTATTTATTAACTAACTTTTAATTTAATTAATTAACATGTGCTTTTTAAGTTTTAAACACTGCTTCATTACAGTTACAAATTAAATTTTTTTTAAAGTAGGAGTAGTAGTATCAGCTGTCAAAAAGACATTTAAGTTGATAAATTTGTAAAAATTCAATATTAATTAAGCAGGGGTCTACCCCAAACCGAAAAACTTGGCAAAGGGTCTATGAGACAAAAAAGTTTGGGAACCTCTGACCTACAAGATAAGCGAAACCACGCTACCGTGTAAGCGAAAAAATAATTTGGTGGTAAATGGGGGTCTATGATAGTGACTCTCATTAAACCAGATCATGACTTTAACATTTAAAAAAAAATTTTATCAAGTGGAAACCAGATTTTACTTATTTAGCAGATTTATTTACTAAATTTAATGCGATTAATTTGCAGTTATCATGTGACAACCTAAATTTTATTAAAACAAGGACCATTTCAGTATTTATTTCAAGAATTAAGCTAAAGAAGTATATTATTGGAGGTCGTGAATTTTCTCAATTTGTCACACAGACAATCAATCTGTCAGGAAGTTTTAATCTACGTTCAGCATTTAAATGTTCTTTATTCAGATTTTGGAGCTAGACTTGAGAATGCTTTGACTATGGTAATACTACAGTGGACAATCAATTCGTACGGTCACAATGAAAAAATAATTTCATATTATAATAAGAAATCATCGGAATAGGCCTAACGAGGATCTTGAAGTTTAGAAACGGATACAAGCAATTTTGTCTTTAAAAAAACATACATGTTTTTTGTTTCGAATTATGGAATCATGACAAAAAAATTTAATAGTTCTTTTCCTAGTGAAAAGCTTCAGCGCGGTTATCAATTTCCGAAACAAAAAAAAAAAGAAGAAAAAACTGGTCACTATACGACTCACTGGTTATACGACTAACAGAGGAGAGATTTAGGGTTAAACCTGACAAGATTGATACCAAATGTTGAAAATTTGTTACTGAAGCACCAGATTTATCCTTCCTGTTATAAATACTTGTTTGTTGTTCAGTTATTTTATTAATTAATTAATCTAATTAATTAACATATACTTAAGTTTTAAACACTATACTTCACAACAGCTAGAAATTTAAATCTTCTAAAGTAAGTAGTTCGATATTAGCTGTTAAAAGACATTTAAGTTGATAAATTTGCAAAAATTTAATATTAGGTAAGCAGGGGTCTATCCCAAACCGAAAAACGTGGCAAGGGATCTGTGAGACAAAAATGTTTGGGAACCTCTTGTCTATTTTATTTGTTTCTTCAACGGTCAGAACGATATTTTTAGTTAACCGTAGATATTTTGTAACAGTATATTTGAATCATCTACTTTATTCATTAGATAAATATAAACTCTATAAATGTATAAAATCTAGTCTCGTTCAACAACTATGTACTTTATTAGCGGTTAATTTTGAGAGTGAAAGTTTCAATTAAAAACATTAGGATGTGTATTAGTTTTTATTATTTCACTTTGTGGGATTTTATCCTGTTCATTTGATTTCACTTCTGTCAATGTGCCCAAATTCATTACTCGAAGTTTCTAAAAACAAATTGGGATTTGAAATGGACTGCTTCTTCCAGCTTTATCAAATTTCTATTTCTTCTTCTATTTATCAGTTGAATGGTTGAGATTGCAAGAAAGTGTCTACAGGAAATACTAAAGGTGAGATTAATTGAACAGAGACCTCGTATAAGATTAATTTCTCTGGTATAATCACTCTTGTTGGTTGAAAAACGCTTAATCTGGATGTACGATTAAGTTTTATAACTGTTACTTGCATCTCAGATTTTGCATTAATTATTTTGTGGTAGGGTTTTCTAGATACTTTTATCATTCCTCTAAAGCCAAGAGTTGAAATACTACTGACGAAGTATAAGAACAATTAAGTTCTTTTTCTGATTTTTTTGTATCATATACGACCCTTTAGCATCAAAATTAATTGGATATACACAGGAGCCCTTAAAGTATATAGTAACTGATGGAATGATACGAATCAGGGAGCAGTATTTATTAACGTCACCCGATAAAGCTACCCTAACGGATCTCGTAATTGTGAACCTCAGTCAAGTGACGAGGATGACACTTGAGCTGGCACCTCTTCTCCAAACTATCACATTCTGCCGACAAGAGGACTATAAGCCACGATAGATGTAGACGGGGGTGAGTGGCACTAGGTATACGAATCCGTGATTCACTAGGCTACCTCGGCCACGTGCCCTAGTGAGGAGGGGTCACGTTTTGTTGGAAAATAACAGTGGGTTCACACACCCACTTCATTTGGGTTATGCACAAAATATTCTTTTTTTAAAGACATTTTAAATATCTAATTTTCTAAAAGAATTTTGCAAAGACATTTCACGAATATGCATGTATTTACAACAAAAACAACTCTATGCTGCGTATTTCCCGCGGCAGTAGAACTCGAACTCATAACATGACGTCGTGACCATGACCACTAAACTTCCGCAGACTGGGGTGGTAGGAAAAATATTAAACAAAGGACCCAACTCAATAATTGCTTTTATTTTACTTTGTGACTGATTTATTTTAAATATTGTTTTCCAAAATATATTTGTTTGTTTGTTGAGTTTTAAATTCAAAAGGCTTGGGTACAACTTTCTTTGTTGAAAGGAATTTTGTATATTCATGATCCTTTTACGATAAAAAAGTGGTTAATATTTGAAAAAAAAATAATGTCTTGTGGGTAGATAAACAAAGCAATGTAAAGCAGGATATTAAAAAGTATGGGGTTTCTGTAATAAAACGAAAGCAATTATTCATAAATGTTTG